TAGGCACTTGGGGCCATCTTGGAGGACATCGATCAAAAAAGAGGGTAGCTTCTTTTAGCCCTGCCCCCCAAGAGGCCCGAATGTGGCCAAAACCTTAGTAACACCGATGATCTTGGCTTCCTCGCCGAGGCCGTTTTGGACGCCCTGACCGCTCGCGACCGGCCCCGTTCAGGTCCAGGGGAGGGGGTAGGGGGAGGGGCAAAAACCCCTCCCCGAAGGGGAAGACGCGGGTTGGAAGAGGAGCCGCCCTAGACCACCTACGCCCAGAGGGTTGGTGGGGTTCTGGTCACAACACACCCCAGGAGAGGTCTGGTGATATTGGTATCTCTTGGTTTCCTCAAGAGGTCCACACCTCCTGCCAGGCGTCTCTTGACGTGGAGGAGGGCGGGGAGCTGCTACGCAGGGTGCGCATCGTCAAGGTCTGGCTGCACGCGGACATCCTCGCAGCTGACCAGGTCCTCCTGCTGGATTCCAAGGTCCAGCGGGGCAGGTGCGACGAGGCGGACAAGGGGCGCCCGCTAACGATGCGGATCCCAAGGGGGCAGACCTGGCAGAGGGCCGTGGAGACCCTGCTCGACAAGCGATTGGGGATCACGCCCGAGACCCAGCTCAGCTGCATCGCGGTCGATCCCGCCTCCCACGTGGAGAGCGAGGATCGCGCTGCCTCGCGCTCCTACCCTGGCGTCGACACACTGTACCAGATCGATGAGGTCACCGCCAGGGTGGTCATGAACGAGGTCGACACCGCGACCCTGCACCGCATCGGCCTCCCAGATGGCCAGAACTTCGCCTTCTCCAGGTGAGCGCCGCAAAAAAGGGTCCGTTTGCGCCGACGTCGGCGTGCCATCTGCCCGCGTGCGCTGGCGGCCCGCGCAAGCCGCCGCGCAGGGTCGCTGCGTCCTCTGGTGTCGGACCCGTTTCTCCTCGTCGCTTAGGCTTGGCATCGCTCGGACGTGTGCATTTTTCCTTCGGCGAGGACCATCGAGGAGCATCCTGGACCATCGAGCCAAAAAAACACGCACGAAACCGAAAGAAGCACAGTGAATGGACGTCCGAGCGACGGCAAGTAGGTGTCGACTACACGTAAGAGTGATCTTTCACCGGAGTAGCTTTTGGCGCGGGCCCACTGACGTCCCCCGATCGGTGAAAATGCGACGCGCGGGCGGCCCGCCTGCGCGCCGCGCCTCCCCTCGAAGCCGCGCACCAGAGCCCGCCGCCTGCAGGGCCCACTCTCTGGGCGTGCCGCCGCCAGGTGGGAGCCCGCCAGGGGCCCCGGGGCGGGCAGCATGACCATCATGCACTGGTCCTGGCAGAGCAGCCGCGACACCTCGGCGGCCAGGGTCCAGCGCGCCCCGTCCCTGACGCGGGGGCACTCCGAGGCGTGGTGGGCGGAGGTGCGCGAGCAGCGGAGGCTCCTGCTGGTGCCCGAGCCGGACGGAGACGTGCAGGGCGGGGCCCGAGCCGGCGCGGGCGGGTCCTGGTTCTCCTTCGGCATGTTGGAGGCGGCTGGCGGCCTGAGGCGGCCCAGCGCCGGTGCCCGCCCGCAGGGGGGCGGGGGCCAGGCTGCAGGTGCTGGCCGGGTTCGAGGAGGCGTCTGGCCTGTTTCGGCCCCCGGGAGGAGGAGGAGGAGGAGGAGGAGGAGGAGGAGGAGGAGGAGGAGGAGGAGGAGGAGGAGAAGGAGGAGGAAGAGGAGGAGGAGGAGCAGGAGGAGGAGGAGGGGGCGGAGCCCCAGACCGCACACTTCTGCGCTGCGTTTTTTGCAGCCGGATCGATCCGTGACGGTCCGGGGCCCCGAGTCCGTGATGGTCCCGGATCCGGGGAGAAGCACTGCACCAGATGGGCCCCGGGAGGGGTCTGGGAGCCAACTGTGGGCGGACTTGGCTTCATGCCGCCCCTCTTGACCGATGTTCTCGGTGCCCGGCCAGCTCAGACCCCCCGCCGCCTCCAACTTCAGCAGCGCCACCGTCCTCGAGGACCTGATGAGGGGGAAGAAGGTGGACATGAAGCGGGCCAGGCGCGCGGCCAGGGAGATCTGCAGCCCGGGCTACACCTGCCAGGACTTCTACGGGGACATCACCGCGGCGTTCCCCGAGCTGAACCTGTACCTCGTGGGCGACATGACCAGCGGCCGGGCTGGCGAGGACGAGTACCAGCGCACCCTGGGGGCCATGTTCTCTTTCTTCTGGCTCATGCGCCTGCACCTGGACGGCAGCCAGTCCTTCTGCTTCGGGCTCGACGAGAACTGGAAGGCGCGCGCCAGGCCATTCGACGACAGCCAGGCGGCCCTGGACGAGTGGGAGCGCCGCAGCGCCTTCCACAGGGACGCCGAGTGGGCGTCGCTGGAGCTCGGGGGTTTCACGGCGTGAGGAGAAACGCTCGGAGGTCTGCGCGGATCTCTGGGAGCCGCGTTGGACCCTCGTCCCTGGCGCGCGGAGCGCCCCAGTGGCGGCGCCGCCAGGAAAACCCAGCGCCGGTACTAGAAATCCGCGCGGAAACCCGAACTTGTACGTTGATGGGGCCAGGACGGGTGTCTGATATTTCGTGGACCGTGCCTTGGTTGTGGGTCAGAGTTCTCAGGGGTGCTTCTTGGGGTCTCTTCGGAGCGCTCTCGGGGCAGTTTTCGGCCCTCTCGGGAGCCTCTTGGGGGCCTCTTGGCGGCTTTTTGGGGGGCCTTTTGGGGCCTCTTGGGTGGGGCCTCCTGGGGGCCTCTTGGGGCCTCCTGGGGGCCCATCGGGGCCGAGGGCTCGAAATGTCCGCTCGGGTCCCCTCTTGGAGCCGTCTTTGGGGCCTCCTGGGCCATCTTGGGCGCCTCTTGGGCCGTCTTGGGGCCCTCTGGGGCTGTTTTGGGGCTTTCTTGGAGGCCTCTTGGGGAGGTCTTGGGAGCTTTTTGGGCCGCCTTGGAGCGTCGGGAAGCCAAAAAGGCGAGATCGACAACCTTCAAAAACCTTGCTGGAGAATCAGATGTTTGCCCCCTACCGCCCTCTTGGGACGCCTCTTGTTGGGGTATCTTAAGGGTCTCATGCCGCGATCTTTTTTGTGTCGTCTCGAGGCCCTCTTGGTCCATCTTGGGCGTCTCTTTGGTCCCTCTTGGCCTGTGCTGGGGCCTTCTCGGGCCCCAAGAAGTCGCGCGGGCAGATGTGGGGAAGCCGCGGCAAGCCCGAGCAGATTTGGCAATTTGCGCTCAGGGCCCCTTCAAGACTCTTCAGGATTGAGGACTGAGGCTTAGAGGATAGGCAAAGGACCTGAAGTCACGCCCACTCCCGCACACATGCACAAACACACACACACACATACACACCACACACACGCAGAAACAAGATATGAATACATACATGTATGTATGCATGCATGCATACATGTATGTATGCATGCATGCATGCATGCATGCATGCACGCATGGATGTATGTATGTATGTATGTATGTATGTATGTACACATGCAAGCATGCACGTATGTATGTACGTATGTATGTGTGTATGTATGTGTGTATGCGTGTATGCATGCATACACGCATGTATGTATGTATGCATATGTGTACGGCTGTACGTGTGCACGCATATAGGGGTGTGCGTTTCCTTGCGTGTGCAAGTATGCATGCACGTGCGTATGCATGTATGTGCATCTATGTATGTATGCATGTGTATGCCTGTATGTTTGCATGCACACATGCATGTCTGTGTGCGTGCATGTGTGTATGCATGCATGCCTGCATGCATGTATGTATGTATCAATGTGCGTATGTGTGCATATGTGTATGAATGCATGTACGCATACATGGATGTGCGTATGTATGTGGGTATGCATGTCTGTATGTATGGATGTGTGTACGCATGGATATATATATATATATATATATATATATATATGTGTGTGTATATACATGTACGCATGCATGCATGTATGTATATGTGCAGTCCTGCATGTATGTATGAATGTATGGATGTATGTGTGTATGCATTCCTTCATGTATGTATGCAGTGAGACATGCTTGTATGTATGTGTATGCATGTATGCATGCATGTGCGTATGTGTGTTAATGTATGCATGTGTGTATGTATGCATGTGTGCGTGTACGTTTGTATGTATGCATGCATGCATTCACGCATGTATGTACGCATGCAAACACGTATGCATGTATGTGTATGTATGTATGTATGTATGCATAGGGTGTATGTGTGTATGTTTGAATGTGCGTGCGTACGCACGTACGTATGTACGTACGTATGTACGTATGAAAGTTTGTATGTATGTATGGGTGTATGCTTGTACGGACGTGTGTGTATGTTTGTATGTATGTAGGTGTAGTTGTATAGGTAGGCATGTATGTGTGTGGATCGATGCATGTATGCATATATGCGTACATGCATGCATGTATATGTGTATACATGCATGTATGCATGCATGCATGCATGCAAGTATGTATGCATGTATATACGCATGTACGAATAGTTGTTTATGTGTGCTTGTTTGCATGCATGCATATACGTATGCATGTACTGTATGTATGTATGTATGTATGTATGCATGCATGCATGTATGTATGTATGTATGTATGTATGTAGTTACGTTTTTGTGGATGTACGAATGTATGTATGTACGCATGTATGTATGTATGTATGTATGTATGTATGTATGTATTGCTCTGGCGTGCCTGGTGTTCTCTGCGAGTCAGGATGAGAGGGCGCCGTTGCGACCGTTGTTGCATCAATGCTCAAGCTTTTGTGGCGTTCAGATGCCTGGACTCCGCAACGGATTCTGGCTTGTGGGCGCTGTCACTCAGCTCTTCACAGCATATTGGTGGCGGACACAGCCTTGTCCTGCGTGCCCTGGGTGCCCGCCGTGCCCGACTCTACACTGCCCCAGCTGCCCGCTTCTGCAGTGTCCAACGGGCGTGAGTTCCTTGCAGGCCGGCGGGAACGCCGGCGGAGGTCCGAGCTCGACACCTCCTGAGCCGCCACCTGTGGTGGAGAGTGCTGACGACCCTGGGCCTCCTGGCGTCGCTGCTCCAAGTGAGGATCCAGCGGCAGGATCGACCGAGAGCTCTTCGGGGTCAAGCGGCTGGCTGGGGGAGTTCGTGGCCCTGTGGCTCCACGCGCTGATCGCTTTGGGACAGGCCGCAGTGGTCCTGGGATACTCTTGCCTGAGGAACGTGTGCTCGTGTCGACTACGAGTCCGACAGCCTCCTGCCGCCATAGGCTATGGTCGCCCCGCCGGCGGACGTCCGCCCGTGGGCGTGGGTGCTGTACGCCGGCGAGCGGCAATGGCATCAGCGTCGGATCTGGGGGCAAGTAGAGGATCCGCCAACTGGGCCTCAGACTCGTCTGCTGTTGATCAGCAGCACACCTGATCACGATGTCTACGAAGAAGACTATAGCAGGGACAGCGCTGACATCCTGGGCGTTCGGTTTGTGGACACTCGTCGTGACCGCGGGGGCCTGGACGCAGGGCTGCTATACGGGTTCAGGCGACGCTTGACGGTGAATGAGGAGACCGCAATCATGGCGGCGGTGATCCAGGTGGCCGACGAAACGTACCTGGCTCGGGAGACCGCTGGGGGCCGCGCTGCTGTGTTGCCTGCGGGAGGAGCGCTGCGGGCTTTCGACTTCGGGCTGCGTGGCGAGGGAGCTGGGCAGCAGCTGGTCGGAGCCGACGGTGGCGCTGCTGGGGGCAACGCTGAAGGCGCGGCCGCCCTGGTGGGCGTGGGGCCCGCGCGGGGACCTGGTCTCGGGATCGCTGCTGGTGGTGCAGCCGCTGCTCAACCTGTGGGTGCTGGAGCGCCTGGGCAGGCAGCGGCGGCCCCTGTGGCGGTCGGGGGCCCTGGTCCTTTCGCTGCTCCTGCTGCTCCGGAGTGGGTGATGACGGAGACGACGGCCGCGGGAGACCGCGGGACGGTTGTGGCCCTGAATGGGACGGAGCGTCTCGGAGGCGACGTCGGGATCATGAGGACCGACAAAGGCTGGATTGGCATCCGGCGGGTGTCGCTCAACCTGTCGCTCTATGCTGGCGCTGAGGCTGGACTAGGCGCCCGGCTCCTGGGGATCTCGCTGCAGTCAGATGGCCATCGCCCTCGGATTCAGTTTCGAGACGCTGTCGCCAAGTTCGAGCAGACCCCACTCCCAGGCTGGCCCCTGGAGGGCCCCCGCTCGGCAGCGTGGTGCTTCGTCTTCATCGACAGACGCCGCGGGGGCCCGCTGGAGCATTTCACGCAGTTCAAGAGTCAGTACCACTTGACGAACGATGACTACGGGGTGGCCCACTACGAGAGCATCATGAGGATGATCGAATTCTTGGCCTGCTGGGATCAGGTGAATCTCCCCGACCTCGTTGGCGTCGAGGTGGCTATGCGACAGGCACAGCTGTGCGAATACGTGTACGCAATGGAGGCGGAGGGCTCACTACATGCGGCCCCGCAGGCCTCGGAGGACAAGAACAAGAAGGGACGCGGCCGCGGCCGTGGCTTCGCCAAGTTCGCGCTCCTAGACGAGGCCTCCGCCTTCACTGGGACATCGAAGGAGGACGGGAGGATGATGGTGTGTCCTGACCTCCTTCACCACGCGTCCGCCATGGTCGAGAGGGACGCGGGCATCCTCAAGTCGCTGCGTAAAGCGCGTGAGGAGCGCCGCGCCCTCTCGGGGCAATGAGAGTGACCTCGGACGGGATGCCCCTCGCCCCGCCCGAGATGCATCAGAGGGCGGCTCCAGTTTCCCCGCCTGGAGTCAGTGATGTACGTGGGGGCCGCTATTCTTCTCGCCGGGATGGCCGCCAGCGCGATGTCTTCCCGATTCCTCTTCGCCCTGATCCTGTTTCTTCCTCCATCGAGCTTCAGAGCACGAAGGCCCTTTCTCGGACAGCAGCTCGGCGGGTACACCGCCGCCATCATAGGCTTGACATGGTGAATGAGATAGTCGTGACTCTCAACGACATGTACCTAGGTGGTAGTGGACATGACGACCTTCCGCGTCGTGCCGCTGGAGATCCGCTGCTTGCTGCCCATGTCGAGGCACACCGGGAGCTGGAAGATGCGGTTCGACGCTTCGGAGAGCCTCCGCTGGATCTCGACGGCCCAGGAGCCCTTGCGGAGCTTCGGGTGTCCCAGGCGCACCACGGGGAGGCCGTGGCCATCGCCCCGGTTGGCTTCGACAACGTCGACCGCATTTCCCTGCCTGCCGCTACGACCTCTCCGCAGACGTTGGAGCACTTGGCTGGGGATGCGGGCCGGAAGATCGCTGACCGTTTACAAGATTTGTTGTTACCCCGAGAACAGGGGTTGGACCGTATCCATACTGAGGGACCGCGTCGGCTATACGTTGATCCCAACCTTCGCAACCCTAAGTTGTATCAGCGGGTGCTTCAGCGGCTGGTGGACTCTAACTTGGTGAGTTTCCAGCTGGACTGCGAGTGCTCGGTCGGGCTCTTTTTCGTTCACAAGAAAAATGGCGATCTACGGATGATCCTAGATGGCCGCTACTCGTCTTTGCGCTTCGCCGAGGCCGACAAGGTTGAGTTGGCCTCCGGCGGTGCTTTCAGCCAGATCGCCGTAGACGGGGATGACCCCATCGCCGTGGCCGGCGTGGACATCGCCGATGCCTCCTACAACATCCTGTTGCCTCCATGGCTGCAAAAATACTTCGGCCTCCCGCCCGTCAGAGCAGGCGACTTCAATCTCTCTCGTGTTGGCGAGGGTATTCCTGTGCTTCCCTCGCAAAAGGTGGTCCCATGCTTTCGTTGCCCGCCCATGGGTTGGAGCGTGAGTCTTTGGATCTGTCAGACCTTGAATGAGCACATCAGCTCCCTTGTCCCAGACATCAGTACACATAACCTCCTTGTTGATCGCAGGCCAGCCCCGAGTTTGAGCAACGATTTCATACACACTGAGTACGTTGACAACTTCGTCTCATTGTCACGGTCTGTGGAGCGTGCAGGCGACATCGCCAGGGCCGTGGGCCGCGAACTGAATCGAGTCGGGTTGCCTACGCACGAGGTCGAGGAGGGGGTAGGTGGTCAGACTTTGGGCTGGGAGTTTGGCTCGAATGATGCGGCCATCGGGTTGAATCCTCGTCTACGCTGGAGGTAACGTCTTGGCATCCAGGAGATCTTGAGGCAGGACCGCTGTACTGGGGACACGCTCCGGAGGGTCATATCGCACTATACCTCTCGGGGCCTCATCAGGCGGGAGCTTCTGAGCGCTCTGAGTGCCGTGTACTCGTTCATCCGCGTAGCAGGTCATAGGTCTTTACGCCTCTGGGGATCCGTTCGACGTGAGCTACGGTGGTGTAAGTCCTTGTTGGTCCTATGCTTTAGAAACGCAGGCAGGCCTCTCTCAAAGGTGGTTTCTTGTGTTGATGCCTCATGGTGGGGGGTTGGAATCACTGAGAAGGATTTCACACACGATCAGGTCGTCGAGTTGTCGTCCTTCAACGAGCGATGGAGGTTTGGGCGAGACAACGAGAAGTCGATGCCTCCCCGAGCCTTCGACATCGGCATGTGGGAGGATGAGACCGAGGAGACCAAGACGAGTGCGGGGTTCGGCGAGCCCCACCATGTCCTGAAGGCCTCGCACGGCCTGTTGTTCGAGGAGCCCATCAAGGTCTTCCCGAAGCCTCCGGAGGCCAAGTTCAGGGGCGTCTCGAAGGAGGTCTGGGGTGGTGTCTGGAAGCGTGTCCTTTCGAAGCCTTGGGGGCGCGAGGAGCCCCAGGTCATCTTGGAAGGCAGGGCTCTGGTCAGCCGTCTAAAGCATCTTCTTCGGAGCTCTCGGAATTTCAGACACACTCATGTCATCCTAAATGATTCTATGGCCCCGTTGCTGGCTTTGCTCAAGGGTCGGTCCTCATCGGCGCCACTTCAGCGAGTATGCCGTCAGGTGGCAGCGTTGGCTCTGTGCAGTGGCTGTGGCGTTGTCTGGCGCTGGGTACCTTCCGAGCACAACAGTGCTGACGCAGCCTCGCGTAATCGACCTGGCCTTGCAGCTGAGGCGGATCGCGCAGCCGCTGGAGATGCCAGGCGCAGCAGCCCTTGTTCAGGTGGGGGGCGGCTTGCCGAGAGGTCGGGGCGGACCAGGGACCAGCTTGGCCGCGGCCTCGACTCGCCGCCGCCCGGCCTCAGCCTCGGCGACGAGCCTCGGTGTCCGAGCTCGCGTGGAAAGCGACCGCCGAGCCGCCAGGCGCCTGCAGCGCCGCCAGGGCTACAGCCGGGACATCGTCCCGAGGCCCGGAGCGGGTCACTCGTTTCTGGAGCAGGAGTCGGTGTCTGCCGCCACCCGCCGGGACTACCAGAGGAGAGCTCACGACTTTTACCTCTGGGCGGAGCACTCGCGCTTGGTGACGGTGACCGAGGAGCAACTGGACGAGACCCTGGTGATCTACTTCCACGAGCAGTTCTTGGAGGGGGGCGAGAGCACGGACGCGTGGAAGCTGTTTGCGTCGCTGGCCTTCGAGGGCCGCCACCTGGGCTTGAAGTACAGCAGTCTGCCGCGTGCGACCCGAGCTGCGCGAGGATGGCGCAAGCTGGCTCCACCTCGGTCGAGGCTCCCGCTGCCGTGGGCTGCCTGCTGCCTTGTCATCCGCCAGCTCATCCAGGCCGGACAGCGAGTGCTTGCGGAGCTCACGGCCGTGGCCTTCGCCCTGTACCTGAGGCCTTCGGAAGCGCTCTCCCTGACAACCAACAGCCTGGTGCCCCCGTCGGTGCTTCATGGAGGCCCACGCGGGACCTGGAGCGTGACGCTTCATCCAAGGGAAGCCGGGGTGTCCAGCAAGACGGGGGTGCACGACGACTCGCTGCTGGTAGACAGCCCCGCCTTTCCTTGGCTGCCCGGTCTTTTCCAAAAGCTGCTGCGCGAGCGTCCCAAGAACAGCCCTCTCTTCCCCGTAACGCACAGCGAGTGGAACGCCAAGTTCGCCGCCGCAGCCAGGGGCAGTGGTCTTCAGCCGTTCCTGCCACTGACCCTTCACCAGCTCAGGCACGGAGGAGCGAGCCACGAGCTGCTGGTCCGGGCCCACACCCAGGGCGAGGTGAAAAAGAGAGGTCGTTGGGCCACAGATCAGGCCGTGAGGCGGTACGCCAAAGGAGGACGGATTCAAGAACAGTTGAACATGTTCCCACACCACATTCAAGGCACCGCGAAGCGAAGCCTCGATACGATTGGCGCCGTCCTCTGCGCGACCTAGCTCGTTTTGTGAACGAATCTGGGCAGCAAGTCATGTTAGAAGTCTTCAGTGGGAGCGGCAACCTTTCTCGGTCGCTTCGGATAGTCCTGAGGGGGACCGCCTGCTTCGAGCTCGACATTGTTCATGACGCCGCTGCCGATGTTTTGTCTGGTAGAATTCAGAAGCTGATCAGGGGTTGGGTACGCAGCAGGATGCCCCTAGGGGTGTGGATAGCTACTCCGTGCCAATCAATGTCGCGGGCTCGTAATCGGCCGAATGGGCCCCCGCCGCTTCGAGACGCTCAGCACCCCCTCGGACTCCCGCACCTGAATCCCGCCGACTGTCTGAAGGTTGCCCGTGGTAATCGTCTAGCCCGCTTCAGCTTTAGCCTCTTTTCCCTGTGCAGATCCCTTAGAGTCCCTGTAGTTATCGAGAATCCTTCAACCTCCTGGCTTTGGAGTCTCCCAGGGGCCCAAGCGCTTGCCCGTTCCAGTAACGTTCTCGATCTTGATGTCGATTTTTGCGCTTTCGGAACCCCGTGGCGTAAACGAACTCGCCTTCGATTTTGTCATCTCGACCTTGCCGGGCTCAAAGGGGCCCGATGTCGAGGCCGCGGCGTTTGCAGTTTTACAAAGTGCCCACACAGGGTGCTTGAAGGAAAAGACAGTTCCGGGCGATTTCTTACCCACATCGCCGAACCATATCCCAGAGGGTTATGTGTAGAGCTTAGTAGAGCCTACAAGCAAGCGTTGCGAAATAAAGCTTTCTGTACTTTAACTAGATATGTGGCCTGACGGCCAGTGTGAGAGTTTCGCAAAGTGTCAGTGTTTGCGCTCTAGTTCGGAGTTGTGATTGCCTCGCGGTGAATACCCGTGCGAGACTATGGCATCTAGATGCGAGCGGCTCTGGGCCGCAATCACACAGATTATCAGCATGGTCTGTCTGTAGCAAAAGTGCTGTGAATCTGCAAGGCTGGCGCCCAGGAATCCGCCAAGCATAGATTGCTCTGGCGTGCCTGGTGTTCTCTGCGAGTCAGGATGAGAGGGCGCCGTTGCGACCGTTGTTGCATCAATGCTCAAGTTTCCCTCCCTCGGTTCCCTTCGCCCCACCCTACTGTTAGAGCCTTTCTACACTTGCACTGGAGTTGTGATTGCCTCGCGGTGAACACCTAGATGCGAGCGGCTCTGGGCCGCAATCACACAGATTATCAGCATGGTCTGTCTGTAGCAAAAGTGCTGTGAATCTGCAAGGCTGGCGCCCAGGAATCCGCCAAGCATAGATGTATGTATGTATGTATGTATGTATGTATGTATGTGTGTATGTATGTATGTATGTTGATTTGTATGTTTTTTATATGTCTATGTATGCATGCATGTGTGTATGTATATGTATGTGCATGTGCATGTGCATGTGCATGTGCATGTGCATGTGCATGTGCATGTGTGTATGTGTGTATACCCTCATGGCCAAGCCAGGGACGGGCATGCGCGCCGATCCAGAAAGATCCGCGCGGAGCCCTGGAAGTTTTGTTCAGGCAGCTTCTCGTAGGAGCAGCTGCTCGTGAACGCTGGGCTTCTGGATGAGGCGACGCTTGTCGTCGACGCTGCCCCCGTCGGTCCGATCGTGGCGCTCGTCGTTGTCGTTGTCGACGGTCGTCGCAGTCGTCGTCGTCGTCGACATCGGCGTCGACGTTGGCGTCGTCGTCGTGGTCGTCGACGCCAGCGGCGCTCGTCGTCGACGCTGCCGTGCCAGGGGAGGCGCGCCGGGGGGTGAGGGGCGTCGGGGCTGGCGCTGCCTTCCGGGTTGGGGGGGAGGAGGAAGAGGAGGAGGAGGAGGAGGAGGAGGAGGAGGAGGAGGAGGAGGAGGTGAAGGAGGGAGGAGAAAGGTGGAGAGAAAGAGGGGAGGAGGAGGAGGAGGAGGAGAGGAAAACATGAGGAGGAGGAGGAGACGTGGAGAAGGGGGGGAGGAGGAGAGAGGAGGGGCGAGGGGGAGGGGAGGGGAGGGGGAGGGGAGGAGGAGGGGGGAGGAGGAGGAGGAGGGGGAGGAGGAGGACACATCTGCCTCGTACATGTTTGCATCTGCATGAGTCTCATTGCAAGGAGTTATCTCTTTCTTCTGCAGTCAGGAGTGATGCAGGGTGATCCGCTCGAACAAGTATCCTGGTTCGGTTGTGGGGGCTTGTGCGGATGACGTGGGGGTCTCGGTGGAAGAGTTATGTGCCCTTGCGAAGCTCTCGGGAGTTTTTTTGTTTTAAATGCGGCCCAAGTGTTTGCGGGCCTTCAACTAAAGCTACCCAAGTGTAAGCTCATACCTGTCAGTGAAAGCTTTTCATACGATCTCCAACAGCGAGTTGCGTCTAAGCTTGCTGCCTGTGTCCCGAGATGGAGGGATCTCCCGGTTGTCAGTTGTGCGGAGTACTTGGGTGTGTGGATAGGCGCTGCAGCTACTCGAGAGAAGATGTGGTCGAGAGCGTTTCGTGAGTGGTGTTGTGTGATAAATGAGTTAGCTGCAACCAAGGCCGCCCCATCCATAGCAGTCAGCATGTACAAGTCCCGTGCGGTCTCAAAATTTCGCATATATTTCCCAATTGTCTCCGCTGCCGAAGCAGATCGCCAAATGAGAGAGTTAGGCCCTACATCGGCTTCTGCATCTGCCCCGTTTCTCTTTCCCCCTCTCATCGCTCTTCAGCTTGCGCACGTGGTCGAGGATCAGGCCTCAATCGATGCGCATTGTCTCGTCTGCCACTCTTGTCCGAGCCGCCATCAGGACTGTAAGTAATTGGAGGCCTCTCTGGAGTCAACTACAGAAGGTTGCCCGCGAGGGGCTACCGATCATTTTGTGGACGTCGGGAACTTGGTCGCCCGAGCACTGGCAGGCCCGCCCTTTTGTCCAGGAGCTGAATGAGGCGGCGTCTTCCTTCCCCTCCTCCCCTCGCCTTGCTGCTGCTGTCGCTGCCGCTCGCGCTGATCTGTCCGAGGCTTTCAAGGAAATGCCTGAGACCCCTGTTCAGCGGACCCGGACTCGAAGTCTGGAGCGTCAGATTTTGGTGGATGATCTAGAACGCACCATTGTGAAGCGGCTAGCTGGTTGGGCCTCGAGACCGCCGACGGGCAGAGCTTTGCAGGCGTTGTCCTGGCCTCTTTTTCGCTCTGTCCTTGAGGGGATGTCGCCTGCATGGCAGTTTTCGATCATCCGAACGTGGACGACTGAAGGGAGAATGTGTCAGAAGAACTGCAAGTGCGTGTTTGAGTGCCCTACTGAATTGTATTCGCCGAAGCATTATTGAATCGTTTCGCTCATCCCGCCGGCCCATTTCGCATGACTGAGCCTCTTGGGGCCGCTGGGGGGCCTCTTCAGCGTCGCTTGGGGGCCTCCTGAGGGCCTCTTGGGGGTTTTGGGGGCCTCTCAGGGGCCTCTTGAGGCCTCCCGAGGGCTTCTTAAGGCCGAGGGCTCGAAGTTTTTTTTGTGTTCCCCCTTTGGGGCATCGCTTGGGGCCCTCTTGGGCCCCTCTTGGGCCGTCTTGGATGCTTATGGGGCCGTCTTGGGGCCCTCTTGGGCCATCTTGGGGGCCTATTGGGCCGTCTTGGGGCGTCGGGAAGCCGAAAAGATGGACACGCCAAAATCTTCCCAAAACCTATTGAAAAATAATGATTTTTGCCTCCTGGGGCCCTCTGGGGAGTGCTCTTGGAGGCCTCTTGGGGCGTCTGGGGGCCATCTTGGGCGTCTTGGAAGGATCGTGTGGCATCTCGGAGCACTCTTGAAACATCTTGGAGGGCTCTTGGCGGCCTCGTGGCCCTTCTTGGGGCTCTCTGGAGGGCCACGGGGGCGGCGCCCAGGAGGAAAACCATCTCTGATCCGAGTCTGCCGGGGATCGGCCGGGGTACTTTTCGTCCGGGGACCCCCAGGGGCCGCCCCGCGAGATCTTAGCACGCCTCTGGCCCGCTGGGCCGGCGAATTTATCGTGTCCGATGCTCTGGGGTTTGGTCTTCTTTCACTGGAAGCCAGACTTCCCGATCGAGTATAATTTGGACAAACACTTTTAGGCCTGGCGAAAGAGATGTCACATGAGCAGCGGCTATTGGCCGTGCAGCGTCTTCTGATAGCATATTATACGTATAATCATCGGCGCCAGGGATGGCCGATGGCAGATGCAGTCCGTGCTGCTGCGCTATTGCAACAGGCAGATGAGTAAGTCACCGTGAACTTTCGTGGCGCCTCTGGGCATGTGCGAGGAGGAGGAGGAGGAGGAGGAGGAGGAGGAGGAGGAGGAGGAGGAGGGGCCAATTGAGATTGGGGTGGGTGGGGGGTGCGTGGAGGGCGGCCCTGGCCTCCCATCCGCCGCAGCTCTGCCTTGTTTTGCAGGGCCGCATCACTCTCCCCATGGGCCGCGTCCCTCTCCCCTCGCCCCCCCCTCTCCAAGAGAGGCGTTGGGCATAGAAAGAACTGTGCCTCATGTCGCTTTTCGGGCCCCTTTGGTGTCGATGTCCGCCCTGCTGTGCCGTCGCTGTGTCCGCCATGCCTTTGCGGAGACATCCGCCCTGCTTTTCTCAGGCACGCCCTGTCCGCAGAGTTGGCGACGAGGAGGTGTTCGAAGTGTTTCGCGACGTTCGGCAGCCGTCGCGTCCGCCCCAGTTTTCCTGCCCATGCCCTCTGAAGTGCACGGCGTCCCCTCTCTCTTTCTTTCTCTCTCTCGCTCTTTCTTTCTTTTCTTTCAGGCAAACTTTCCGCCATACTGCTCCGCCTCGCGTGGGGTGCAATTCCGGCACCTTGGAGGCCCCCCCCTCCACCCCGCTTGCCCAGGAGGCCGTCTCCCTCGCGCGCCGCCTCTCCAGACCCCCGACGCCGTGACTTGTGTTCACCGCGGGGGCCCCCAGAGGTCTGGACGGACCCCTTCGTCCCCAGGACTGGCTCAACGTGGGCCCCCAGAGGTTCGGGGGGACCTGTTCCCCAGGACCGGCTTCTCGTCCTGAGTGTTTTTTTGGGGGGCGGCCCAGCAACGGCCCGGAGGGACCGACACTTCTTAAAAGCCTGTCCGCCGTGATTTGCTCATGGCCCGCAGGGGTCCGGGCCCCCACGTGCGACACCGCCGAGGTCAGGGGCAACGTTATATGCATGGTGGGGATAGGCTCGGGGGTGCATGCTGCACCGATCCTCGACCTTCGACCCTCGGCCCTCGATCCTCGACCTTCGACCCTCGGCCTTCGATCCTCGATCCGATCCTCGATCCTCGATCGATCCTCGATACTCGACACCCGATGGCCCGTTCATCGCCGATAGGCCCTGGGAGCCCACCCCGCCCAGGAACGAGCGGCTTCGCTGCCGGGGCCGATCGCCGGTCCATCGGCAACGTTGATGTTTCCACCCCCTCGGCGGCGAGCGAGGGGGGTGGGGAAGCGAGAAGAAGGGGGAGGCCCTCTCGGAAGGCTGCGCGGCCCCTCAGACGCCCCCCATCCCATCCGACCGGTCTCCTGCGCCTGCGGGGGAGGCTCAGAGAGCCTCCCAGCAGGCCGCGGGCCTCCGAGCCTTCCCGAGAGGCCCCGCCCCGTCTCTCGCTTCCCCCCCCCCCCCGGGCTGGCCGCCGACCAGCCCCGCCCCGGGCTGGCCGCCGACCAGCCTGGGCCGGCCCCCCCCCCCCGAGGCGACGGCGGGGGCCGCCGCCTTCTCCCGCAAGCGGAGCTTCCTGGCGCTGGCGTCCAAGAAGGCGCGGGAGACGCGCGGGCACAGCGAGGACCGCGTGCTGGGCATGCTGGTGCTGACGGCCAGCCCGGGCGGCGCGCCCAGGGGGGGGGGGGGGGCCCTAATATGCAGCCTATTACTATGGCAGCGGCGGCCCAGCACCGGTCCCCTGGCCCCGGGTTCGGGCCCCGGCCTCGGCACCGGCCCGGGCCTCGTGCCCCGGGCTGGCCCTGACTCCAGATCCGCCCTACTTTGGCTTTTTTTTCCCACTTAAAATTGCGTCGGATATCCACCCATGGGAAGCCGAACAAGTGGGGCGGCAATTTCTGCACCCAACATAAAAGTGGGGCGGAAATCCACAGAAGTGGGGCGGAAACAGCAACAGAAACGTGAGGCGGAAACTGGCATCAGCGGGGCCCGAAAAGTAGGGCGGACATTCCAAGCCCTACCTACGAGTTTCCCCAGAGTAGGGCGGATCCGGAGTCAGGGCGGGCCCGGGCCCGGGCGGTAATTAGGAGGCCACGGGCGGAGCCCTGCCCCCCCCCCCACGAGTTCCAGGGGAGGGAAGGTGGGGCTCCCTTCGCTCGTCGCTCGAGGCGAACCCCACCTTCGGGGAAGCGTCAGAGTCGAGTAAGCCGGAGCTCGGGCTTGCCGACGTTTTTTGACGAGCGCGTCGTGGATTTTTGACGGTCCAGTTTCCGTGGAAGTTTTCAGCGGGACTTCGCGTAAGATTTCATATTGGGTCTCGTCATTTCTGTGACGGCCCCGTCAGGCCAATCGGAGTCCCCCCGTACCCGAGTCTGACGTCTCCCCGACACCTCCCCCCTTCAGAAATCGTGGGGTGGTGGGGTCGGGTTCGCATGTGGCTTCCTAGGCGTGGGCTTCGGCTCGGCCTCGGCCCCGGCCTGGGGCTCGGGCTGGGCCCGGACGTGCTCGCGTCGTGGGCGGAAGGTTTTTTTGTTGCAGTTTTCGGCGCCTGTACAGGGGCCCTCGCCAGGGTCTGGGGCCGTCACAAAACGACAAAACGGCTCGTGATGAAACGCCGGTCCTGGGGGGAAGGGTCAGGATCAGCGTCCCTCTAACGGGGACTCCACTAACGGGCACTTTGGCCAGTTACCCAGCGAACACCAATCCTCCCCGATGTGAGCAACGCTGCAATGCCAGAAAGAGGCCCTCAAGCGGCAACTTTCGGCAATTTTCCAAAGTACCCGTTAGTGAGTACCCGTTACGGCGCCGCTGACAGGACCTCCGGGGAAGGCAGAGGAGGCCGGCCAGGCTTGGAGGTTTTGGGTTCGAGGCTTCCAGGCTTTCGGGCGTCTTCGTCGCTTCGCGGCGGTGAGGCCGGCCAGGCTTGTAGGTTTTGGGTTCGAGGCTCCAGGCTTTCGGGCGTTTTCGTCGCTTCGCGGCGGTTTTCTGGCCTCGGGATGCCGTCCAGCAGCTGCGTCGCGCCGAGGGCCCCTCGGGGGTGCCCAGATCGTGCCGGGCGGCCACGGGAGAGCCGAGTTGGGCCACGCGGCGTCCGGGAAGGGGCAGGCCTTTTCAGGAGGCGGCGCGGGCCGCTCAGAGGCCCTCCAGGCCTTCTGGGAGGCTGTCAGGGGTGCTTCGGAGAAGGCCCGGTGCGCTCCCCAGAAGGCGTGAGGGCTGCTGCGAGGCCCCGCCGCCTGCTGAGGAGGCGGGCTCCCTCGGCCGTCCCCCCTCGGGGGCGCGCCGCCCACGTCCACGACATCATGAAGACGGTCCAGCTGCTGCCCACCGTCAGCAGGAGCCGGAGATGAGCACCGCCTGCACCCGCCCGAAGCTCTCAGCCCCGCGCGGAGCTCTCTCGGCGCGGCGCGGGGCCCCTTGGGGCCTGCGTCGGCCCGAGGCATCGGCGTGGGCATCCGGAGGTTGACGTCGCTCTCTGCCGACTCGTCTTCCTTGCCTCTGCGTGTTTAGGGCTTTCCCGTCGCAGGCGGACGCGTTCACAGTGCTCGCTGTGTCTGCAGTTGCCGTGGTGCGTGCGTCGCTGGGGGAAGAAGGGGGCGTCGTGGTTCGTGATGGAAGCATGTGTTGGGCGCCGTGTTGTGCTGTAGGAAAATCGGTGGCACCCCGACATACTAATACTATGTGTCGGTCGCCCCCCCCCCACGGGCGACGCGCGCACTGAGAAGTCTTATAGTATTCGCGTCGTGGCGGGCGCTTTCTGGCCGCACCGCTCGGGAAACGATATATTACAAGGTGTTTATGTCATATGTTCGGTCGGACGCACGCCTCCGAGGAGGACCTATAGTACTGGGATGTCACTGTGCGTCCGCAAAAAGATCTCCCTCTCAGGAAGCACGTGAACGGCTCCTTCCGGGGCTACAGGGTCGGCGAGGTGATCAACGACCACGACGCGGCCTTGGCCTACGTGCTCGAGTTCTACCCCAGCGTCCTGCCCTCCTTCGCCGCGCTACCCAAGGACCCGGAGCCAAGCGCCTGGACCTTCCCCTCCGCGCGGGATACACGAGGGGGCTGATGACTAGGGGTGTGTGTGTGTGTGTGGATATCATGGCCACGGCCATGAAACCCTGCATATGTCATGCCCCCCTCCTCTTCCCCTCCTTCTTCTCCTTCTTCTCCTCGTTCGTTTTCTTATTGTTGATATTCTCAGTCGTAGGATTACGATTATTAGTAGTGTATTAGTATTATCATCAGTATTCGTATTGTTATATACTTGCTATTGCTGTTGCTATTATGTGTAACCATTCGCAATAGCATTAGTATCATTATTATTTTCTGATTATTACTCATACTATTATCACTACTATTATCATTATACTGCTTCTTCTGCTTCTTGTTCTTCTTTCAATGCGTTCCCTGGTCCCCACTCGTCCGCGCACACGCCTCGGGCCATAATATGCTAACCTACCTCTTCACGCCCTCCTCTTGGACGCTCCCGATCCTCCAACTTCCCTGGAAAGCAGGGGGAGAAGAGAATAGGATGCACCCCTTGGGATCCTTCAGTTCAGCGATCTGACCCTTGAGCGTCACCCGTAGCCACCGGCGGTGGCGGGCATTACTGAACTGGAGGATTTCGATGTGCTAACACACCGAATTCCGTCAGTTCGGCAATCCTGGCCTCTGGGAGACGTTCCAGGGCCAGTTGCCTGAGCTGAAGGATCTCCCGGGGACGGTCCGAGGACGAGAAGAAGAAAGGAGAGGGACGCCGTGGATGATGATGATGATGATGATGTCGATGTTTATGGTGATGATGACGATGACGATGACCATGATGATGACGATGACGATGACGATGACGATGACGATGACGATGACGATGATGATGATGATGATGATGATGATGATGATGATGATGATGATGATGATGACGATGACGATGACGATGACGATGACCATGATGGTGGTGGTGATGATGATGCTGATGATGCTGATGATGATGATGCTGATGCTGATGATGGTGGTGGTGATGATGATGGTGGGTGGTGGTGATGATGCTGATGCTGATGCTGATGCTGATGCTGATGCTGATGCTGATGCTGATGCTCATGAGGGTGGTGGTGGTGATGATGGTGACGGTGAGGGTGAGGGTGAGGGTGATGGTGATTGCGATGTTGATGATGATGATGATGATGATGATGATGATGATGATGATGATGATGATGATGATGATGATGCTGATGCTGATGCTGATGCTGATGCTGCTGCTGCTGCTGCTGATGCAGATTATGGTGGTGATGACGATGATGTCGATGCTGATGTTGTTGATGCTGACGCTGATGATGATGATGATGATGACGATGATGATGATGATGATGATGATGATGATGATGATGATGATGAGGAGGAGGAGGAGGAGGAGGAGGCGGAGGAGGATGAGGAAGAGGATGAGGATGAGGATGAGGATGATGCTGATGATGATGGTGATGGTGATGATGGTGGTGGTGATGATGATGAGGATGGTGGTGGTTGTGGTGATGCTGGTGGTAATGAGCATGATGGTGATGAGGACGAGGACGAGGATGAGGATGATGGTGGTGGTGATGGTGATGGTGATGATGATAATGAGGAGGAGGAGGAGGAGGAGGAGGAGGAGGAGGAACAGGAGGAACAGGAGGAGGAACAGGAGGAGGAACAGGAGGAGGAACAGGAGGAAGAGGAGAAGGTGGAGACGGAGGAAGAGGATGAGGATGGGGGGGGGGCTGCAGGGCGGCAGGGCTGGGCTGCTCCCCCAGAGAGGAGCAGCAGGAGAGCGTGAAGTTCACCCAGAGCAAGATGGAGTACAACATGGGTTGGCTGGCCCAGGCCTCGGGGCAGCCCGGTGCGCCGATCGGGGACCTCGGCCGTGCCGCCGGCCTGGCTCAGCCTATCGAGCGGCTACACGCCAGAGTGACCCTTCGCCTGGGCCGATCGGCCGCACGCACGTTTCGGGGGTCGGGGTCTTCGGGCGCTGGCGTCGGCGCCTGGTGTTTGTCCTGCCTTGGGACGCGCTCCAGCAGCTGCGCCTCGCCGAGGGCGCTCCAGGCGAGCCTGGAACGCCCCGAACGGCCGCGGGAGACCCGAGATATGACCCGAAAACCACCACCGGCAGGGAGGGAGGGAGGGAAGGAGGGAGGGAGGGGCGCTGGGTGGACCACCTCACCTGCCTTGGGAACGTGGCCCCGTGGCTTGAGCAGGAGAGGAGAGGGGAGGGAGAGGAGGCCGAGAGGGTGACTGCCCACGCCGGTCTTGACGGGGCCACGGCGGTCGCGAAGGCAGCGTCGCTTGCTGCCCGCCTTCAAGCGCTGAGACAGGCAGGCCTCTGGGGTGAGAGCGCCTTCACTCTCCTGTTGACTTTCGCTCGCGGATGCGCCACGCACCACCTCCGCGCCAACCTGCAGGGCGACTGGACAGAGCAGCTAGACAGAGTCCTCTTCGGCTGCCTCGAACAGCTCGCTGGCGCACCCTTGGACGCCCAACAGCGCCTCCAATCCACTCTGCGACTGGCCGACGGCGGATATGCCTTCCCCACGGCTACCCTGACGGCGCCCGCCGCCTACGCCACCAGCTGGGCTCACCTGCTCCACGACGTCATGGCTTGCCTCGGGACCAACTCGCTGGAGGAATTCCGGGCCCGCTGCCCGCGGACGCAACGGACGCTCGACCAGGCGGAGGCGGCGCTCCGGGCGGCCGACGTCCTCCAGGCGCCCTTCGACTGGATTGGCTGCGCTGCAGAGTCACAGCCGAAGCTACAGGGGCACTGGGCCCGAGCATCCTCCGCGGCCAACAGAGCGAAGCTACTGCAGGCGTACGACGAGGACCGCCGCCTGCGCTTGAGGGAGAACGGGGGCACTGGAGCTGGCAGCTGGCTCCTTCCGCGCCAGCCGGAGGACCCCCGCCAGCCAGACGCGCACTTCTGCGGAAACCTCAAGCGCCTCCTCTGTGCCCCAGTCTGCCCGCCTGGGTCTCGCTGTTAGCACCGCCTCGACCTGTCCACCAGCGACCCAGCCACCGGCCGCCAGATTTTCATCGACTGGAGCATCACCTGCGTACACTCAACCTACGCTCCACGCAGGGGTGCCCGGGCCGAGAGAGACGGGCTGGCGGCCGCCCAGGCGGTGGAACAGAAACGAGAGCCCTACCCGCCGCACGGCGGAGAATTTATCCCCCCAGTCTTCGAGACGGGGGGGCGGCCCAGCGACGAAGCAGCCAGCTTCGCCCGCAGCTACGGAGCCGGCTTGGACGACGGCGACCGCTCCAAGCTGCTGGGCGGCCTCTGGCGGCAAATCAGCAGGACCATCCAAAGGGGGAGTGCCGAGATGCTGCTGAGCGCGCTCGGGCGCTAAACCGCCACGACGACGACCAGCCCTAGCACGCGGCTACCGCCAGCAACACGACGCGGACGAGGGCCAGGCTACGACACAGCGGCTGCCACCAGCACGACCACCATCGCGGCCACCACCACCGCGACCACGACAAGGGCCGCACGACAACGATAGCCTCCAGCACGACAACGACCACCGCCGCGACCTGCGCCAGCACGACGACCCAACCGCCCCCCTGCCCCTGCGGCCCACCCCGCCCCCGCGACAAAGACGTCGGCGTCCCCCACGGCTTCTCCGACCACCTCAGCCGCCCCCCGTTCCCCGGCCCCCCTCCCTCGTTCCTCCCTCCCTCCGCCTGGCCGCCCCTGTTGCAGTCCTGCTCCGTTCTCCTCCCCCTCCTCTTTCTCCTTTGCCTCAGCAACCTAGCGCGGAACAGAGGTTTTTGGCACCTGGGGGCCGCCGCTGGTCGCCCCCCCCAGGGCCCAGTTGCCTTTGGGGTGCTTCGGACCTCGCCTCTCCCTCCTTTTTCCGAAAGAGGGAGGGAGGGAGGGAGGGCGAGGAGGAGGAGGAGGAGGAGGAGGAGGAGGTGGAGGTGGAGGAGGAGGAGGAGGAGGGAGGAGGAGGAAGGTGGGCGGGAGGAGAGGGAGGGAGAGGAGGAGCAGGGAGGAGGAGGAGGAGGAGAGAGGAAGGAGGAGGGGAGGAGGAGGAGGAGTGAGGGATGAGGATGAGGAGGAGGAGGCGGAGGAGGAGGAGGAGGAGGGGAGGATGAGGAGGAGGAGAGGAGGAGGAGGAGGATGAGGAGGAGGAGGAGGAGGAGGAGGAGGAGAAGAGGAGGAGGGAGGAAGCGGGGAGTAGAGCAGGGGGAGGGGCGGAGGCGATGAGGAGGAGGCGGGCTGAGGGAGGAGGAGGGGAGGAAAGGAAGGAGGAGGAGGAGGAGGAGGAGGGGGAGGAGGAGAGAGGAGGAGGAGAGGAGGAGGAGGAGAGGAGGAGGAGGACGGGAGGAGGCGGAGGAGGAGGCGGAGGAGGAGGAGGTGGAGAGAGGGGAGGGAGGGAGGAGGGAGGAGGAGGGGGAGAAGGAGGAGGAGGTAACGAAAATCGAAGGGCCCTTCGCCGGTGTCGCCGCGGGGTGCGCGCGGCTCTCGGGGGAGGGGGGGGGGGCGGCGGGACCGCGCCCGAGCGCGTGGGCCGCCTCGCTGCCGCACCGCACGCCGCGATTCGACAGGCCGCGCGCCGAAGGTCAGTCTTGCCCGGGGCCACTCTTCATCGAGAACGAGGGAACCCCTGACCCGAATATTAAGTCGGGCTTGTCCCTCTACAGGAGGAATATTTAGAAGTAGTCAAAAAGTAGCCTGGGGGCGATTTTCTCATTGCCTTTGGACTATGTTGGCGCATTTTTCGGGTATTTGTGCTTTCCTCCACAATCCGCCTGTAGGGGGACACGCCCGACTTAACCCTAATAGCGCGATGAAGACGTGGCCTCACTTAGGCCCCCGACTTCGCATCAGGCATGATTGATCTGGGTGGTTTGGTCTGATTCATCTGCAGAGAAAGACCCCTGCCCCTCATGTTCTTTTGACCCTCCTAAATGTGGTTCCCTCCCAGGGGGTGAGGGGGTACTTCTTTCGTTCATCACCTCTTGCGTGTAGCCGAATCGATCGAAGGGCACCCGGAGGCCGATCGGGTCCCGGATCTGCGCGGGGCACGCTGCCCGTGCGGTGCGCACCGGGCTGGCCGAGGGATCGGGCCAGCCGGGGCAGGGCGGGAGGGAGAGGAGCTCCTGGCTGGCCTGCACGGGCGTCCTGGGGAGGGGGGGGGGCAGGTCACGAGGAGGGAGGAGGTCCAGGAGCAGGAGGAGGAGGAGGAGGAGGAGGAGGAGGAGGAGGAGGAGGAGGAGGAGGAGCTCCTGGCTGGCCTGCACGGGCGTCCTGGGGAGGGGGGGCGCGCAGGTCACGTGGGTGCTCGGGCAGGGTGTCCTCTTGTGAAGGACTCACGGCCGGCGCCGCCGACCCACGAGGACGACGACGGCGACCACGAGGGCGACCACGACGACAGCGACAAAACACGACGAGCCGATGGCCCTGCCACAGGCTCGGGACGTGGGGCGGGCGGACGGCCCTGCAGGGGCGCCCTGGGGAGGGGAGGGCAGGTTTTCGTGGGTGGTCGGGCAGGGCGTCCCATGTCTGGAGCTCCCGGCGGGAGGGCCCCGGCCGCCGGCCTGCTCACCCTGGCGGCGCCGAGGGCAGCGAGGGAGGGGGCAGGCTCAGCTGCGTGAGTCGGCGGCGAGCCCAGGCCCAGGGGGGGGAAGCGAGAAGGTGCAGGCCCTCTCAGAAGCCCCTGGCGGTCTCCGAGAAGTCTTCGAGGCCTTTGCCCGAAGACGCGGGAAAAGAGCTTCCCAGAAGGCGCGAGGGATCCCGAGAAGCCCCGCCGCCTTTTGAGAAGGCCTGCCCCCCCCCCCCTCTCGCTTCCCCCCCGGGCGCGCCGCCGAGTGGGAGTGACGCTGCGCCGGAGAGGCCTGCGGTGCAGGCCCGGCCTCGGTGGTTCGAAGACGGGGTTCTGAGGCACGCTGTCCTGAGGACGAGGTACAGTCGGGGCGCTGAAGAAGGAACCCTTTTCGTTGGGGAGGGGCTCGGTGTTCCTTGATTGTTTCAAAGTTTGCCTCGGGTTTTCCCGAGGTTTTCCATGGAAAATCGAGGTTGAACTTATGGGAAAAAGGGGCCTCGTTCCTTATTTGGGGTTCCTTAGGTCAACGCCCCGACTGTACCTCAAACGATGTAACTCCACCCTCGGGTCGCTTCCTATCCTTAGGGCCCCATCCCCTAGGGCCCCCTCTTTGAGCCGCCGGCAGCCGGGCCCCGGGATCGCGGAGCGCGGTGCGGCAGCAGCGGCCTGCGCGTCCGAGGGCCGGCGCGCCGCGCGTCCCCGAGGGCAGCGCATTGGAGGCCAATCTTGCCCAGGGCCGCTCGTGCGCGCAGCCGAGGCGTTCCCCCGACTCCAGACGTCGCCGCGCCGGGTGTCCTCCTCCTCCTCCTCCTCCTCCTCCTCCTCCTCCTCCACTTCCTCCTCCATCCAACTTATGGTGGTGGTGGTGGTGGTGGTGGTGGTGGTGGTGGTGGTGGTGGTGGTGGTGGTGGTGGTGGTGGTGGGAAACAGGCCCATCCGATGCGCGGCCTGGCGTCTTGGGGAGGACGCCTCGGCCACTAGGGCAAACTCCGCCTCGGGCGCGGCGGGTTGGCCGTGGGGCCTGCCGCGGTGCCGGCTGCGTCCACGCCGCGGGTTTGCCGTGGTGTCGGCGTCGTCCAGTTTGGGGGCTCGCCGAGAACAAGCGGCGCGGCGACAGATCTGCCGTACTCTGGCCGATGGTCCGACAGAGAGTTGCAGGACGTTGCGAGGGAAGTGCATCCTAAATGAGGCGCACGAGTGCCGCAAAGGGCATACATGCTGGAAGCACAGCGACGGCAAAGCAGGGCGGACAAACAGGCGGACACGTCGACGACAGAGGAGCCGGACCAGTGGGGCGGACATCTCCGCCCCCCCTGCGAAGTCGCCCAGGCTGCGGCGGATCCGACGTCAGGGCAGCGTCGCTCTCGCGCGCGGCCGAGGTCCAGGCCGAGGCGCCCCCCGGCGCGCTCTTCCGGAAGCTGCGGCGCGTGGTGGCGTCCGGGCAGGCCTCTCCGCGCGACCTGGCGTTCTATCCCCCGGTGGGCCTGCGCCTCTCCGCGGGGCCCCCGGCGAGCGGCTCCAGGGGCCACCCATCGGGCACGGCGAGAATGCCCACCCAGACGAGTCGACCGAGGAAGGCTGCGCTGGCTCGCTCGGTAGACTGGCATTCGAGTGTGCCTGTGCAGTCCCCAGTCGCTTTCGCTGATCGGCGTGCGCTTCGCCAGACACATTCGGATTGTCTGCGGATGTCGGTGAGCTGCCCCGCGGGGTTGCCCTCGCACTGCGGTGCCGTGCGCACGCGGAGCGCCCCTGGCAATCTTCACTGGAGGGCGTTCTGCTGAAGGTGGGTCCGTCCACCCCCGAACTCGGAGGTTTTCGAGGGCCCCCCCCCAGAAGGTGTGGTGACCACACCGTGTGGTGAGTCAGTGGAGATAGTCAGCCTCGCGAAGAGGGGGGTGGGGGGAGGGGGGAGGGCTTCTCAGAAGCACCCCTGCTTCTTGGAGGGCGGGCCTGATCTCTAGACGTAAGGCCGGCGCCTTCTAAGAAGCAGCCTCCTTCGAAGAAGCCCTCCCCCCTCCCGCCACCCCCCTGTGCGCGCCGCTAAGGTGGGGGTCACCGCACGGCTTTGGGGCTCGGGCCGTTCTCCGAGGGCGTCTCGGGCGATCCGGGGCCTCCGATGGGGCCACACGGCAGCGAGGTGGCGGGCCGTGCGGTGAGGTCTCTCGGGGTGCCATGGTCGCCGAGGGGTCCGTCGCCGCACGGTTGTGGGGCATCCAAGGTCTGTTGGCCGCGGGAAGAGGAGGACGAGGCAGGAGGAGGAGGAGGAGGAGGAGAAGGAGGAGGAGGAGGAGGGACGAGGAGGGACGAGGAGGGAGGAGGAGCAGGAGGAGCAGGAGCAGGAGGAGCAGGAGGAGCAGGAGGAGCAGGAGGAGCAGGAGGAGCAGGAGGAGCAGGAGGAGCAGGAGCAGGAGGAGTAGGAGTAGGAGTAGGAGTAGGAGTAGGAGTCAAGCTAGCCAGCTCGAGCGAGTCAAGCATGGCATGCCCAGTCCCACCCGCCCTCCCACAACATAAGAAGCAAAGCTGGCACAACTGGGGCCGAAGTCACACCGGCCAGCCGGTTTGGTACAGCTGATGCGGCCGCGATGGCGGTTGCCGACGGGAACTGGCGAGCGCGTGTTGAATGCCGCGCACGCATTGCCAGACGAGTCGAGAATGGCCCGGTACACCGCAGGAAGCCAGAGGTGGCCGGAGGAAGCCCGACGGTCTGACAGGACACCCCAAAGCATTTTCGTGAAAAAAAAATGGGTTTTTGATGTTTTTATGTTGAAATGCTTGCAAACACACGGCGTTCGGTAGGATTCTGACATGAACGCGCGAGTGTGCTCTTTGTGGTATTTTTTGCACAGGATTCGCGGCCTGGGTGCATGACAGAGCATCGCGAGTGCACCGCGCGATGACGCGAAATCGCTGGATTTGACCGAATTCTTCAGATTCCTATGGTTTTCCTATGATTTCAGCAAGAGAGCCCGGGCGGGTAATTTGTACAATTTTTGTGAAAAAAAAATGGGTTTTTGATGTTTTTATGTTGAAATGCTTGCAAACACAAGGTGTTCGGTAGGATTCTGACATGAACGCGCGCGTGTGCTCTTTGTGGTATTTTTTGCAATGGATTATCGCCGTGGACGACAGGACGTCCATGTCGAGAGGAAAAAATAAGAAAAATGTTGATTTTGTATTGTTTTTTACAGGTTAGGATGGGACCACCCGGATGCGGCCCCTATCGGCCGGCCTGAGGGGGGAGTAGGAGTATATTCTAATAAGGAATAAGGGAGGATAGGGGAGGAGGAGGAGGAGGAGGAGGAGGAGGAGGAGGAAGGACGGGATGAGGAGGACGAGGAGGTGGACGAGGAGGAGGAGGAGGGACGAGGAGGGACGAGGAGGGACGAGGAGGGAGGAGGAGCAGGAGGAGCAGGAGGAGTAGGAGTAGGAGTAGAAGGAGGAGGAGGAGGAGGAGAAGGAAGAGGAGGAGGAGGAGGAGGAGAAGAAAGAGAAAGAGGAGGAGGAGGAGCAGGAGGAGGAGCAGGAGGAGGAGGGAGGGCGAGGAGGAGGAGGACGAGGAGGTGGACGAGGAGGAGGAGGAGGAGCAGCAGGAGCAGTCGTGCCACTGATTTGCTGTAATAACCCATTCTCACGATCTCTGTGCAGATCCATCGGCGCTGCAGGTGAATCGTTGCCCGTAGGTGTGCGACTCGGGCTTTGGAAGGCATCCACCATCGCAGGAAGAGGAAGTGGGTGGAGGTGAGGGGTAAGAAGGTTGGAGGCGGGTATGCGGTCATTCCCTAGGGCCCGTTTTTTTTGCAGTCACGTGTCTATAAACTTGCTGGAGTTCGACGACGGCCCTTGGGACACTCCCCAGGCCCCGAGAAAATCCAAGAAGAGTTGCCAATAAGACAGGAGAAACCGAACAGACCCGAATCCACAGGAGAGACCGAACAGACCCGAACAGCCTCCCAATGGAAGCTCTTATTATTGTCAAGTTGCGTGGCATTTTCCCCGCTGGGCGAACAAATAAGCTTGGCATGGTTAAATTTGGCGGGGGCGGCTGCACAATTTCCTGCAAACGAAGTTCTAAACGCCGCACTGCTGAATTCGGCAGGGGCCTTAGCCAAAAGTGCCGCATGAAACAACAACAAACATACATTAAACTATTGGCAAATGTTTTGGGGCCCACCAGTTCGAACGTGTCAAAGTGCCTGTTCCCAGGCAAGCGTCCACGAACCACGCTCTCTCCATGATCACGACCTTGCGCAGCACAATCGATCAGCGTTGCAGTTGAATCGTTACCCTTGCGGAGTCGCCTCGCGTCTTGGAAAGCACCCGCCATCGCGCGAGGACGAGGAGGAGGAGGAGGAGGAGGAGGAGGGAGGCTTGATTGATAGTGGCGGAGGAAGCAAAGAGCCTGGTATTCGGGCCAGCCTCGGGCGTTGTCACCGCTGCTCGAGTTCGAGGCTTGCGGACACTAGACATAGTCATGATGCCGCAATCGGTGTCTTGAAGCGGCTGCGTACCGCAAACTAAATTTACAGCCAGGCCACCGCGCGCATTGGAGCCAAAGGGGTATCGCAACACAGGTCCCACGTCGCCCTCGGTGCAGGCCTTCGCTAGGTGGGGCGGTGGGAGGAGGGAGGGGGCGGCGGAGGGAGGAGGGAGGAGGGAGGGAGGAGGGAGAAGGGAGGAGGAGGGAGGGGAGGAGGAGGGAGAGGGAGGAGGGCGGTGGGGAGCAGGAGGAGAAGGGAGGAGGAGGAGGAGGAGGACGAGGAGGAGGAGGAGGAGGAGGAGGAGGAGGAGGGGGTTGAGGAGTGGAGGAGAGGGAGGAAGGAGGAGGGAGGAGGGAGGAGGCAGGGTCACCCTCGCTACACCGATGCGCTGAAGTATACTCTTGAAACTCTGCTGTTCCCAATTGTCTTGTCTTTCGGGTTTCTCGCAGATGCGCTCTGCTGCACTGCCAGGACCTGACATTTTTTGTAGATTTGTACATCTGTAATATTATCAGCTACACGCACCATAAAGATGCATACATTTGCACCTATGCATATGCATATACGTCAAACAGGGAAGCGACAATAATTCTGTGCTACACTCAGCGACATTACGATCCAAGTTGACCTAGGTTTCCCTCAGCGTTAAACAAATAAACAGAGGCAGGATCAGGGGAAGGAGGAACCAACAAATATGGCTCTCATCTCTCGCTCTCTCTCTCTCTCAGATCCGATTTCGGATTTCCAGGGAGGGAACATCGGGGAGGGGAGCAGCCAAACGTTTCAGACGCTGTGCGATGCCACCCCTTGCAGCTCTTGGGCTGGCGGACTTCATCCACTGGTTCACAGACCTCGCTGGCGCGGAGCCGTTCCCGCAGGAGGGATGCGAAAAGTTCGTGCTCAAGTTCCCCAAGGCCTGGGGCCCCCTCTTCAAATCCAGACCCCTGATCCGCTGGATTTTCTGGGACATTTTGCGACTAGGGCGGGGATTCCCGCCCTACCCTGCTTCTCAAGCGCCTCCGACGTCGATATCCGCACTACTTTACCGTCGCTGCTTCCGCCATACGTATACCCTTGCTGAAAATCTCCGCCGTACTTTCCTGAGGCGGACATGCTCGCCTTTTCTTCAAGAGCGTGCGGGGTGCATCCCCGACACAATGTTGAGCTAGAGCGTCAAGCAGAGCACGGCGGATCCGGAGTCAGGGGAGGCCCGAGCTGCGAGCCGAGAGCCCCTCGTCGGGTGTTGCTAGAAGTGCCCCTGGCCCGAGGTGCCCCCCAGGATTTCCAAGGATGCCCCACGGCCTCCAGAGCACCCCTCCCGAGGCCCAGAGGGCCCAAGGGGTTCCACGATGGAGCGGAAAGCTGGGGGCCCCTTGGGCCAATGGTACCTGTAGCAGCAGCCGACCTCGGGGTCGCCCGCGGGGGGCGGTCTGGGGACCCGGGCCGCCGCCCGAGGTCTGCGCGGGTGCCGGGGGCCTTCCCTCGCCCCAGCTCGGCCCGGGGACAGACGGTGATGGGCCTGTTTTCGACCACCACCACCGCAAGTTGGGAGGTGGAGGAGGAGGAGGAGGAGGAGGGGGAGGAGGGAGAGGAGGAGGAGGAGGAGGAGGAGGAGGAGGAGGAGGAGGGAGGAGGAGGAGGAGGAGGACCCCCTCCCCCTCCAACTTATGGTGGTGGTGGTGGAAAGCAAGCCCATCAGACGGCCTGGCGAGCTGTTTGGCGGGCACTGCGTGCCCCTGCCCCGGGAGCCGGGCGCTGCCGCCCCGGGGCCATCTCAGGTCGAGGCGGCTCGACTCCTCCTCCTCGAACCTCCTCTATCTCCTCTATCCCCTCCTCCTCCTCCCTCCTCCTCCTCCTCCTCCTCCTACCTCCCCTCCTCCTCCTCCTCCTCTCCTCCTCCTCCTCCTCCTCTTTCTCCTCGAGGAGGATCGAGGAGAGGAGGGGAGGAGGAGGAGGAAGGAGGAGGAGGAGGAGGAGGAGGAGGAGGAGGAGGAGGAGGAGGAGGATCGAGGAGGAGGAGGAGGAGGAGGGGAGGTCGGGGGCGGCAAAGAGGGGGGTGATGACTAGGGGGGGGGGATACCATGGCGTGGGCCATGACATTTCCCCAGATCTCATGGCGCCTCTTCTTGTTGCATTACGTCCCTGGCCCCCCCGCCGGGCCGCGCACGTGCCGCAGGTCATGATTTGCACCCCCCCCCTCTTGGGCCCCCCCCTCTTGGCCGCTCCCGAGAGCTGCTGCCGCAGAAAGATGGGGTCCGGGGCTCCGGTCGCGATTTTCCACGATGTCGCGATGTTTGTCGCAGCGTCGGATCTCAGGGTGGGCCCGCTGCCACCAGCCTCCGGCTGGCCCTGGGCATCAGCGCTGCAGCCAGGCCGTCCTGAACCAGTTCCTGCTCTCCTTCGGCATCGTGCAGAACATCGGGCTGCAGGGCGCCACGGAGACGCAGGTGTACGAGGACCCGGTGCAGGGCCTCGGATTGCGCGCAGACAGCCCCCAGGTCGTCCCCGCTGGCCTCAGCAGGCCTCCCGAGCGGTCCAAGGCGGGCGCGGAGCACCCCAGGCCCCAGCCTTCGGGCGCGGAGCACCCCAGGGGCGCCGCAGAAGGCGGCGCCGGGGTGCTGAGGCCGCTCTGGTGCATTCGGGGGGGGGGGCCTGCGGAGGCCCGCCGGGACCGCCCTGGGGGGGCGGCTCTCCGCGCGCAGCCCGAAGCCTCACGGCACGAGGACTACCTGGTGTGGCGCTGGGACAGCCACAAGCCGTCGCTCGGCCCCGCGCCGCAGGGCAGGGGCGCGATCGCCAGGATGCGGCTGGTGACGATGGCGCAGGGCGACAGCGCCGCGGTGCTGCGCGCCTTCGACGCGCTGCCCGCGCGGGACAGGGAGGCCCTCCTCGCTCTCCGCCTCCTCCTCCTCCTCCTCCTCCTCCTCCTCCTCCTCGTCCTCCTCCTCCTCCTCGCCCTTTCCTCATCGTCGCTGGGGCGCTCCATGCAGCCCAGCTGCCTCTCGGGCGAAAGAGGCGGGAGCGGCGGTAAAGCGATAGAGAGTCACCGCATTCCGGCGCCGTGCCTCCTCGCCCTCTCCTTGCCTGTCGCACCCGTGCCACCAGAGAATGCTCGACCGGGTGCCCTTGCCTCCGCCTCTCTCTCTGCCGCCTCTCCTCTTTCCCGTTGCCGGCGCACTGCCTGGCGCTCCGTGCTGGCAGCTGGCAGGGTGCTGCTGCGGCATTGCGCCCGCGAGAAAATACTAACTACTCGTTTTCCTTCTCCTCCTCCTCCTCCTCCTCCTCCTCCTCCTCCTCCTCCTCGCCCCTGCGTTTTCTGTAACGAAACAACCGCTGCTGCGCCGCCGGTTCAAGCAGGGGCGTCGGCGCCTGGCCGCCCGTTGGCGGGGACGCGGGCACACTCGCCCGCAGGCGTGCCCTCGCCTGCATACCGCTCCTTCCGTCTCGTGGAGGCGAGGCCTGGGCTCCCTCACGCACGCCGTGCTCCCCGGAACACTCAAGTGGAATGAGCTGGGGCATCGCTTTGTACACCACGAGCGAGCCTCAGCCGCGGTGCCCTTGCCTGCCACTTCAGATTCTCTCCCAACCATCCTGTGGTGCCGGGTCCTCGTTTTGGATAGTTGGTTCCCGCGTTCTCCTTCCTTCCTTCCTTCCTCCTCCACCCGTCCTCCCTCCTCCCGTCCCCCCTACACCCCTCACACGTTTCGTGGTCCCATAGGGAGCTCCACCGAAGGCGCCAGTGGGACCGCCCGCATGCGTCATCCACCACCCAGCGCAGCATTTCGTGGCCCCATAGAGAGCTCCACCGAAGGCTCCAGTAGGACCGCCCGCATGCGTCATCCACCACCCAGCGCAGCATTTCGTGGCCCCACAGGGAGCTCCACCGAAGGCCCCAGTGGGACAGCCCGCATGCGTCATCCACCACCCAGTACAGCGTTTCGTGGCTCCACAGGGAGCTCCACCGAAGGCTCCAGTAGGACCGCCCGCATGCGTCATCCACCACCCAGCACAGCATTTCGTGGCTCCATAGGGGGCTCCACCGAACGCTCCAGTGGGACCGCCCGCATGCGTCATCCACCACCCAGCACAGCGCTTCGCGGCCCCAAAGGGGGCTCCACCGAAGGCCCCAGTGGGACCGCCCGTATGCGTCATCCACCACCCCACCGAAGGCCCCAGTGGGACCGCCCGCGTGCGTCATCCACCACCCAGTACAGCGCTTCGTGACCCCATAGGGAGCTCCACCGGAAGCCCCACTGGGAGGACAGCCCGCATGCGTCATCCATCACCCAGTACAGCGCTTCGTGGCCCCATAAGGAGCTCCACCGAAGGCCCGGGTGGGACCGCCCGCATGCGTCATCAACCACCCAGCACAGCATTTCGTGGCGCCAAAGGGAGCTCCACCGAAGGCTCCAGTGGGACCGCCCGCATCCGTCATCCACCACCCAGTACAGCGTTTCGTGGCCTCATAGAGGAGGGTTCCACCGAAGGCCCCAGTGGGACCGCCAGCACGCGTCATTTACACCCAGTAGAGCGCTTCGTGGCCCCATAAGGGGGCTCCACCGAAGGCCCCAGTGGGACCGCCCGCATGCGTCATCCACCACCCAGTACAGCGCTTCGCGTCCCCACAGGGAGCTCCACCTAAGGTCTCTGTGGCGGAACTCGCATGGCGGCCCGGTGGCGGACTTCGCATGGCGGCAACCTTCGATTTTCGGAGGTTTTTCGTCGTATTCGACGTGTTGAGGCCGCTTTCGGGCCGCGCGTCCCGGGCGGGAGCCAGCCTGCTCGCTCTCTCTGCTGCGCGCAGCGGACGACCCGCGCGCGTCGCCGGGACCCCTTCGAGGCGACCAGCGCGCGTCGCGGGGACTCCGTGCGGCGCCGCGCCTGCAGCCTTGGACGTGGGCGTGCACGGGCAAAGAGGGAGAAGAAGAACGGAAAGGAAGCGGGCGCGATCCTCGTGAGAGGCGTGCCGACATGGGCGTCGACATTTATGCACGTAGACTCACGCGCGTGCAGACTCATCCACAATCAGGCTCTCTCGCTCTCACTCACTCGCACACAGACCTGTCGTCTTCGCTCGCGTTGTGTGCCCCGCCACGCATGTCGGCACGCCCCTCACACGTCTCGTGTCCCCATAGGGAGCGCGGGCGAAGATGATACTTTTACTTGCGGTTTTCACATCTGCATATGATTGGGTCCTTCGCCAGGTTAATTTTGTTCGGACGCTCCGGCCCCGCCCCGCTTGGTCGTAAGTCGGGCCTGTCCTTCTGCCAGAGGAATATTCTAACATACTTTGAAAATGGTTTGGGGACGATGCTTTGAGCATTCTTTGTTTCTCGTCCAAAATCCCCCTGTCGGGGGACAGGCCCGACTTGAGCTTAGTCCTTTCGCGCGGACAATGTTGCGGGCACCGTCAGCGTCACCGTCAACCCCGTGGTCCCCGTCGTCCCCCGTCGCCATGTCGGCTCCAGGCATCAGGCGGGGAGGCGCCTGTGTCAAAACTGTGTGGCCGCGGAGACTTCAGACAGTGTCACTCCCTCCATGTCTTAGCTTGTCGCACCCAACGGAATGTTCCATGAATCCCCCTCCTCGTCCTCCTCCTCCTCCTCCTCATCTTCCTCCTCCTTCTTCCTCCTCATCATCATTATCCTCGCCTTCCTCTTCCTCGTCGTCGTCATCCTCCTCCCCCTCCTCCCTCTCCTCCTCCTCCTCCTCCTCCTCCTCCTCCTCCTCCTCCTCCTCCTCCTCCTCCTCCTCCTCCCCCTCCTCCTCCTCTTGTTCCTTGTCCTCCGCGCCGCCGACGGAGGTCCTGGGCGACGAGCTGGGCCAGGTGGACATCTGGAACCAGAGCTGGTCCCGCGAGGAGCCCCCGGGGGCACAGAGGTCCGAGTCCTTCTCCGCTCTCCTCCGACCCTCACCGTCTAACCGATCCCAGGCCCCACTGCGCCATGTCGGGATGGGATAGTCAACCCGCATAGTCGGGATGGGCAACCTTCCCGAGTGTACCCTTGCATCCTTGCCTCCTCGGCCCATCCTTGGCCGCTTTCGCTGGCCAGCCTCGCTCGACAATCGTTAACGTGGCCCTCCAAGGCCCTTGCATCCTTATCTCGCATCCTTCTGCGCCACTGCGCCATGCATACCGATCCTAAGCCCCACTGCGCAATGCCTACCGTACTCCGAACACGTTCAGAAAGTACTCTCGCTGTGACGTGTTCTGACAGAAAACACTCTCACTGTGCACATGGCACGTTTCTTTGTTTCGCTCAAGGAGCGCTCTACACGCGTAAGTCCCACCCCCCCATTATAGGGGTAGGCCCCTCGAAGGCCGAAGGGAACAGCGCATATATCCACACCTGAGGGTGTACGCCGCCAGTGGGGCAAAGGTCATGCCAGTGCGAACGGGGATCGGCTCAGCGATGCTCACTCCCCCCCTGCCATAGTCGAATCACAAAACAAGCATGAGCAATGAGCATCAGCTTCCGGAGGTCCACGCTGATTTCTCGGATTGGCGCTGGACCCATCCCCCTGGCGCGTCTCTGGCACTGCTCGAGCGGCGAAGGTGACGCCAGGGGGGTCCAGCGCCGATCCAAGGAATCGGCGCAGAACTCCAAACGTGGACGCTGGCTTGGCATTTTTTCACAACGGGCGTTTTAGCTCCGTTTCGGGCCCCACCCTGAGAATGACGCTGGAAGTTGGGGTCCGGG